GTCTTCATTTCATCAATCATTAAATTGAACCACACATTTATCAAAAACCATGGGCAGTTTCAGAGATACAAAGTATCTATTACCTAATCTTGTTGTATAATAGGAAGTGTCGCTTTCAGAAAATTATAGTATGAACTGTCTGGTTCTTTTCTTTTGGTATGCCTTGTTTTTTATTTTTGCTAGACATCCAATCTTTATCGTTCCACTTTAAGGTCGGATGGGGATGGGGTAGAGTAGGGTCCATGTGACCTTTACGGACCTTATCAAGGTGAGTTTCTAGTTATACCCATGGTTTTGAAAACTGGATGTTTTAACCATTGGTTCTTGGGTCAAACAGTTTTGGGCCGGGTCTAAAATCAGACCCAAATTCAAAACCGATTTATGGGTTAACTGGTCCGATCTGATTTTTAAAACTATGGTTACACCAATATCATCCTGTATTTTCTTACATGGAGGGATAAGGAGTGACCATTTGAGCTACTTAGGTCATGGCTCATGGGCAACAACATTATTGTTCCACTTAAATACTTGATCCTTTAATTTTTATATTACAATAACATGTAGAGTTTGAAGTTCTGCCTTTCATGGAAGGGAATTTACATCAGAGCCCTACAATGCCCTGTATTGGCAACATCTTTCAATGACAAGTACAGGGGATGATGATAAATATTTATCATCGGGAGATGTTCTTAATACACAGTTGGAATATGCTGTGGGGCACTGATGTAAACTCCATGAAAGGAGAGTATATATAGTGGTCCTTCCCTCATTCCATGGTGCCAAACTAAATTCATTTTGATGCAAAGCAATTTTTGAGAGTATTGGCACAAAACAATTAGTCAACAACCACTTGGATGGATTCCCATGCCGTTTTTCAAAAAAAAAATAAAAAATGGTGCCACGTCGGATCTAGCTTGGGGTGGATGTTTTTTGGTGAAAAATGTATGTTTGGTTCAGGTGTTTTTCGAATAAATGTTAATAAATGGCCAGCCAACTGTTTCCCCCAATGATTCGATGACTTGGAGCCCATGTGTATCCGAGCTATCATCTGACGTGTCTTGAAGGTGATTCTATCCGGGTTTAGGGTTTTAATGTTTCCCCCAATGATTCCCTAGTTCGACTTTTTGGGTTTAGGATTTTAATGTTTTTCCATTCTACCCTGCTCTAATTCCTCACAACCAAGATCCATCTTCTTCCCCTCACTTGCTACTCCCAACCAACTTCACCCGTTCCAAAACAACAACAAAATATTTGAAAAGGGTTCAACTATGATATAGAAAAGATATGATATCCAAAAAACGTCTGACCAATCAACTGAAATCATAAATTTGATAGCGCATCAAGTGTTATTTATCAAAATTCATAGGTGGATTGTCTATACACAGTTTTTGGGCATGGGCTTCTTTTTCAAAAAATTGGGTTAAAAAAACACCACACTACCAAACACCATACACCATGGATTCCAAAATTGTACTCTACTATTTAACCATCGTAGGCAATTAAAATGCAAGGGCATTGTTTTCAACCCATGGTTGTACCAGACGGTTGGACTGGTATGTGTGTCATCCGGTCAGAATTTTGGGTCTATGGTACCATTGAACGGGATAACTTTGGCTAGGCTGTTGACAATTACTAATTTATCCACTCATAAAATCAGAGATATGCCCATTCTTTTATAATTTTTTATGTTTTTTGTATATTTATTTATTTTTAAATTTTTATTATTATCCATTTAATTTAGATGATTGAACCATTGACCCAAGGTTCAAAGTATTGATATGTATCAACTTGTATCGGTCGATACGTATCATGTTGAGAGTTTCTCGATACACCCCTACAGGGATTATATAAGATCAGACTATGGTTTAGAGAGTAATCGGGACTTAAAGCTAACCCCTCTGAACTAATTTAAAAAATAAATAAAACATAAAAAAATACCGATACATGCTAATAAACCAACCTTACACTGACCCTGCATATAAATAAGAAGTGGTTCTATGTCGGACCGGTTTTAAAAATAGTGTGAAGGAAAAGAATAGCCTCCAAAGAATATCTTTTCTCATTATTTGATATCATAACCATCTCTCATTCTCTCTCTTTTGTACAAAAGAGGACACTGGTGGCTACTTGACAAAAGTGAGGAAGAGACATGATGTCAATTAGTCCAAATTTGTTCCCTTTCACCTGGAAAGGCCACATGGGAAAGACCAAGGTGGCTACAAATAATGCAAGGCACGATTTCTCTTCGAGGCATGGACCCTGCAGGAATGGTGGTGATTCTTCAATGGTCCAAGAAAGGTTCATAATATAACAAAAGCAAGACTGTGGGACTCCCAGACCACACCAAAACCATCAAACATGATTCTGTGCACACACCCATTTTCCTACCCATATCTTAGTGTTCCGTCCTATCAAAGAAAGGTGCAGAGTTTCTTTGACTCTCTTCAACTTTCTTATAATTTTTTCTTCCTTTCTCACGGTTATGAATATTTTGCAATAGTAATCAATCATATGTGAAGGTGCCAATTGGCTGAGGGAATGTCTCTAGCAAGTAGTAGTGGAGATTGGGATTTTTATCAATGTTGTGTTTGATAGCATTGTTGTTTCTATCTGAAATGTTTTGAGCCCATCAATACAAATTAATGAAAAATATGTGCTGTCTCATCATACATACAAGAATCACTTCAGCTAGAACAATGCATGTGTAGAACTGATCATTGCTGGCCTCAAATTGAGGTTTCAAATAGAGAAATCAATTTATATTGATCCATCTAAAAAAATTCAGATAGAAAAAAAATAAATAAAACTCATCGATTTGTATTGATCAAATAAAACATTTCAGGTAGAAACAACAGTGGTATCAAAAACAATTTGGATTGAATCCTGCATTCATCAGGATTGGGGGTCATGGCTCATGGGTTTGAAGGATGGACTACCCCATTGTGTAGCCCCAATGGCATAAAAAAAAGAACAAGATCAAGAATCTGTCATCTAGCCTAGAAAACAAAAGGCATCCAATCCATACCATGAAGATTAATTATTCTTGAGATGACTGGTTAGTCTATAATTACACCATCAAAGTGACATCTAATATAAGTCATCCAGAAAAGAAGGGGGCAAATGAATTTTAACTCAGAGTGATGTGGGTTGCATTCTACCTCTAAATTCTTGTTGTTTTTTGTCAAAATAGAAAGTGAAAGCAGTATTGAAGAGTGTTGTTTCTACTTGAAATATTTTGACCAATCCAAACACCACTTGAAATGTTTTGACCAATACAAACCCATGCCTTCTCAACCTTGATGAAGGCAGAATTCAAGTTGTCTTTGTTATCATTGTTATTTCTACCTGAAAGGCTGAAATGTTTTGGGGTTAATCAATACAAATCGATAAAATGGGCCTCCCCATTGAAGAAGAAAAAAAAAAGAAGAAGAATCATTTTTCATCTTAATCAGCCTAAAAAATAGAAGGCATCCAATCCATACCATGACAATTAATTAATTATTCTTGAGATGACTGATCAGTCTATAATCACACTATCACTAAGACGTCTAATAGGAGAGCTTTCACTTTAAATATGTGGCTAGCTTTCCATTCAGAAAAAAAGGGGGTCAAATGAATTTCAACTCAGAGTGATGTGAGTTGCATCCTACCTCTGAATTCTTGTTGTTTCAAATTGGAAAGCTAGCTCAAATTCTTCAATCACAAATCAAATCAAATTTGTTTTCATAAAATAAAACCCATTCCGAAAATTATCTTCAATTGTTATATTGGTGTGTCCAGTTTTGTTTGCACTAGTGTGGATGGGAGTGCAAATTCTGGTTTGCTCTCATTTTAGGTTTTATCTTGTTTTGTTTGATTAGAGCAAAATGGGAAGTCCTCAGTTGAGAGTAGAAGAGTGGTAAACTTAAATGGTTTGGTGTCCACCTTACATGAGAGACAATGAAGGTATTGACAATTTTTGCACCCATGCAAAAAATGCAACAAAAGGTGCAAATTGAACCAATCTGGATCTATAACCCACTTTGAATACATCTAAGGTCATGATTTTCTGTTTTAACCTTGTAATATATGTCAGTATCGTAGCAAATGTGAACTCCAAAACGCTCGCCACAAGACCCTACAACTTCACATGGGGAACATCTGTTATGTTCTTTAGTGTCATTGATGGGATGATGACATGATGTTCACGATGTATGACTGTAATGAACTTGAACCGGATGTAAATTAGATATCTTGTTTAGATTTGCAGAAAAACACACAAATAAAAGTATCAAAACTTAATTTAGTCTCCTAAATCAAATAAAAGACCAACTTAAATGCTTTACTCCATTTAACTAATTTGGATCAGCTAAACACGATGGCTGATAATTTTCTCTGTCTGTCAGTAATAAATTCATGGAATTTATTGTAAAAGATGACGGGTATTATGTATTTTATTACTGGTGTGGAATATTATCATTGATTTCACAACCTGTTGAACAGCCATCACATTCTGCTAATCCTTGTAAGTATTTCCTATTTATGTGTCTGATATGCCAAACCAACATCCACATCAACAGGCTTATGATGCCATGGCAGGCCCTAGGGGCACTGGATTGATCAAACCTAACAGAAAAGGTCGGAATGGAACTCAACAAACAGCAAAGCATCATCTCATATTTGGTGTAATGTAAGCCTTTACAACGCTTAGGGAGAGGGATGGAGGAGGAAGTGTGGGATGGAGATGGAAGGTTAGTTGCTGCAATGGGTGCTGAAGCAAGCCCACTATGTATTGCCACGTGGCTATCAGATCCAAATTCCAAACCTCCCATCAAGAAATTATCGGCGACCTAAAAGCGGGGATCCTTCAAAACCCGCGGTGAGACCCACCACGGGAGCTTTGCTTCGTAACTAAATTCTCTTATTTTTGGATTATTATTTGTTTTTATTTTTCAAAATTTTCTTAAAAAGTTAAGAAGGGGAGAAGGATAGGTTTAGAATTAGAGAGAGAGAGAGTGCGGGAGAGAGATCATTAATTAAGTCGGTCAAATGATGCCACAAGACGTCAAACGGCTCTGAAAGAGCTTTTCATTTCGCGATCTCTCTCTTTCTTTTTTTAATCATATTCTTCCTTTTTTCCGTTTAGATTCTCGAAGGACGTAGAGGGGTGTTTCTTTTTTATTTTCTCTCTCTATCTTCAAAATCTCTGTATCTCTGAAGCCCTCTTTGAATTTTTCTCACAAGAGCTTGTTCTGGAGCTGGGTTTCTTGTGGTTTGGGCGGGGACTGTGAGAACCCAGTTGGCTTTTCTTTTGATTGTGAGAGGTTTAATGGGGGATTTGGGTTTGGAGGTTGAACCCATTTAGGTTTTGGAGTTGTTTCTGCAATGGCGGAGACGGATGAAAATGGTGACTGGAGAGGTCTTATGGCAAGTCCTAGAGGACTGTTCTCGGCTTTCATTTCTGATGGGTTCGCTTCCAGGTCGTCGTTGAATGGGACTGATGCTGCTCCGGCGAGTGCCGACGGTGAGCCCGTGAGTTCGGAGAGGAAAGCTGAGGATGCTGGCGGGGCTGCAGGTAGAAGTATTGGGTCTGGCGTTAATGCTCTGACGGAGGTTTCAAGCGTTTGGAAGCCTGAAGGAGTTAGAAATGGTGCGAGTATTGCCGAGAGAAGGGCTGCTATATGTGGTTTCAGTGCTCCGAGAATTAACACGGCTCGGTTTAGGTCCGTCAGTCCTTTGTCTTCACCGGGCGTTTGTTCGCCGTATCTTACTATACCGCCAGGTCTTAGTCCGACGACGCTGCTCGACTCCCCTGTAATGCTTCCGAATTCTCAGGTAACGTACCAGGGTCTGCCAGATTTGATTAAAGAAGCCATTTTGTTAATCTGAAGTTTTTGAATTGGAAATGATAGTTTGGAGCTTTTCAGTAGGAAACTTTGACGTTATCATCATTGCTTAAATTGATAAAGTAAATGACTTTCAGTTTGATCGGTAAATAATCTTTATTCTGTCTCTGTGGAAATTCCACTTATGATATTTTGGCCCTTTTTTTGCTGTTTATGTCTGGATGACGGTGTTCATAGTAACAACTAGGAGAATTAGTCCATGACATCTGTTTGCTCAGATCAATCATTTTGTCCTTGCTCTTGATGCTGGGTTTTCCTCTAGGATATTTGTGGTCAGTGCAGAACTGTAGACTAGAAGTGTGCATTATAAGTACTTAGATTGCAGTGGATTATCCACTGAATTTGCGTCCTAATGTAGTTTTTTCGTTCCCCATTTTGTTAGGGTTGCATGAGGTTGAAAGTATTGCGAGTTTGAATTCAAAGCCTGGAAATTTTGATGTATGAGTGGATCTTTTCATTCCCCTCTTTAATCTACCACTTCTATTTTTTATCATTACTTTTGTTACTTGTTTGTGATATGCTGCATGAGATGGGCATCTCTGATAAGTTTCAGCCGCGATCAGGGTCTTGGAAATTGGAATACAGTTCTTGGGTCCTGGAGTATGCATGCGGTCATAATTTATAGTTAGAGCCTTAGAGGATAAGACATGATACAATTGCATGCATGCAGGTTGACAACCAAAGTTCTGCTGCTGTCATTAGTTTCCTAATTAACTTGGATCTTGGAGATACAAATACATATCAATCACCCGCCCAGAAAACTAAGACATTTAATGTTGCCTGCTGAACCTTATAGTTGTTTATTTCCTATTCAAACCTCTTGATGGTGCAGAACTCATCTGCTTATCATTACAATAGATAAAATGCACATTAAGTACAGGGGCTACAGGGAGTGGATCATCAGCTAAAGATCCTGAAGTTCACTGAATAGATTCTCATGTTCTAGGAGTAGTAATTAAGCCACTTCCAGGTGAGTTGATGATTCAGTCACCTAATGAGCTTGGTGTCTTTGTTAAGATGCGTAGACTTGCATCTGTCAACCGTCCAAGTGTGCATGTATTCTTACGTTTGTGAAACTTTTGAATCCCATGCCGATCAGCAGTTCCATTTCGATAGCATAGAAACTTCTCTTTGTTACTAAATGTGAGATATCTTGATAGGACTACATATTATGCCAATGATATTGATAGGTTTGGGGAGTACAGAGCAAGAGAAATAATGAGGATAGTAGCATGTTTATAACAAAAGGGATTTCCTAGGTTGGTATTAGGACATGAAGTGTTGGTGTTGAACACGGATGGAAGGACTTTGAAATGATGAGGAGACGTGATTATTTATTGGAACTTAGTTGGCATGTAGAGATGGCATGCTATCTTTCATGGTCAAATTCATAGTTTCCTTGGTAGAAGATGCCAAGATGGCATGTATCTCATATCATAAGATCACACATCACATGAGCAATAACAGCATAGCTGCATTACCTGTAAGGTAATAACAAGACAAGAATTTCCATAGTAATACGCATTACCTCCTGGAAGACTGTCCTCAAGAATCTGTGGTGCATGACTTGCTGCATAACATTCCTAAAGAAATAAACCACCTATTTTTTGATTCCTAACCAGTTGCATCATCTACCATAAAGTCATAGAGTAATTCAGTTATGTTGCATTATCAACAACACCCATCATATCCCATTACCTGAACATGGAGCTAACAGTGGGGGTTGGCTATAGGCTGGGCTAGAGTAACCTGGTCATAAACCAATTGGAAAACACCCAAACATCCAAACCCAGTCCTAACCCATACTTTTTAGGGTCTATAAGTAATAGACTCATAATTGACCCTATTATTAATTGGTCTGATTGGGTCTAACCTGATAAGGTCCAATTATAACTGACAGGAATTTATCATGGTAATTTGATAATAAAGCTGTTAATTCTCTGGATCTCTTTTCTCAAAATATCTTGTAGTCCCTATACTATTACAATTTTAATACTATTTATCAAAAAAATTACAATTTTAAAACCCCTTACATGAATAATAATATAGGTGAACTGTGAGAAACATATAAAATGTTAAGAGGTATCTTTGCCATGTGCTAATGCACACACATACATACATGGTATATGTATGTGTATTACTATTTACATAAGCAGCTATGGTCTCAATAGGATTGGAACTCAGAACAAGTAAAACCAATCATAACCCTATTATTATTGGGATTCAAAATTTAGACCCATAATTGGCCCTATCAATAGTTGTCGCTCAAATTACAGACCCAGAACCTATGTAAAAGGGTTGGTTCGGTTCTGCTCTGTTGAGTTGACTCAAATCATTGGTGGTCCTACCTCGATAACTGTATAAATAAGATTTGGAACATGTAGCAACAATTGGGTAGATAGAGAAGGAGATTTGTATTGATGGATGGGAAGTATACAGATTGTTACATACATCTAAGAAGAGAAAATAGTGATTTTTTGGTACATGGATGTAAGATGAGGGTAGCCCAACCTCAAACATTAGGAAAAGGAATATTTGAAAGGTAAAAGACTTGAAGTGAATCCTCCTTGTTGATGGTTTTGGACTGTCCCAAGTTTGCTTTGTAGTCTGCCAACTGATTAGCTTCTTCTTAAATGTGAGAGTATTTGATATTCATCCTTGTTTCCTGTGGTGTCCTTGCAGTCTTTGATGGGTGACCTGATGTTCTGCGGAGCTTCAAAATTTTCTTGTAAGCACTCAATTATTAGATTAGTATCACCATCGACCTTGTAGCAAATTTTTTTGCCAACTAGGCAGCTTCTCTCGCTGCCCAGGCTTCCTCTGCATTGGTTGTTGTTATGCCTACCATATTTGCTGCATTGCATATGATTTGACCTCTTTTATCTTGTCCAACACAACCCACTATTGCATGGCCATTTATCTTAAACATCAAAGTTTATTTTGAGATCATGATGATTTGGATGGTGCCATTTAACCCATCATTGGTTCTTTGTTTTGTTCTTTATGGTCTTTGGCAATTCAATGACAAATTCTTTGAAAAGTTTCCATGCTTTTTCTATTATTTTTGGCAGGTTATTAGATTGGCTTTGGAAGATTGCATTGTTGTTAGCTATCCATGCAGATGTCTGGCACCATTGTTGTTTCCTAGAAAAACAGTGCCACATAGGTGACAATAGCTTTTCTGGTTAAATGGTCTAATATTCTATTTGGTAAGCTGTCTACCCAAAACAACACTAAAAAGCACATCACCTTAGAACTCGAGAAAGTTGAGTTTCTTTGAAATGTCCATGATGTTTCTTGCTATGGCTCATCATTGGCTTCAACAGTTAGATGACCTGGCATTGATGTGGCAGAAACACTATGCCGTTTTCTAAGAAAATGGTGCTAAGAAATGTCTTACCAAACAGAAATTTGTGTATAGTATTGTTGCATATGCTTAGGTGTGCATCACCACCTTGGCACGGCCTACCCACAGTAAAATTCACTTCTGTTCATCTTTGGCTAGACTGTCTGCAAGGAAGTTGACGGATCCTTGGATCTAGTTGAATGAGATTTTGCCCTGGATGGGGGAGGGGGGAGGGGGGCTACATCTTATAACAAGACGGCAAATAAATAAAGGGGCTTCATTGTCACCTCATACATCCAATAGACACTTGGCAATCCACATCTACCTCCACCTGGGTCAGATCCGAGGAACTACCAGAAAAGAGGTCAGTCAGACCCAGGGAGAAAATCATTCTCAGTCTTCAAAAATGAAAAAGGTTGGACCCCAACTACACATGCAGCATCACAACTTCATGAGCACCAAAGTCTCCTTGCACCTGGGCATGCTTGATTTACAGTGGAGCATCCATGAAACTCAACTGGATGTTCCCTGGAAAGAAAGGAGACTAATGTTGAGTAACCTGTCTGTTACCTCAAGATGAGGCCACTTGGGACCAACCTAACATTGCATCATCTACTGTGAAGTCCTTGAACTTCTCTCCAGAATGGATCCAGTGGATTCAATCAAAACTTCAAGGGGCTGCTTAGGGATTTGAGGAGAGATTATTTTTCTCTTCTCAAGTGAACCATTAAATAGCAACTTGTGCACAGCTCTGTATGATCTTACCCCTTTTAGTCCTGAGAGGGGAGAAAATTGTTTCAAAAAGCAAGCACATTGGTTATTAGATAGAGAATGATTTCAAGTGGCTCCTTATCTTAGGATTCTGTGAAGTAAGTATAATTTTGATTGGTTCCCCTTGAAGGCCAGACTGATGTTTTTTTTTTTCTTTTGGCTCTGTGCCACTTAACTATTAATGTAGAAGGGGAATATGTTGGTTTGGATAGATGCAGGGTGGTTCAGATGGCTCTTGGAGTTTTAGGTATCACATCAGGGATGTGAGAATCCTTGCATTCCAGTGTTAACTTGTTCAATTGGATCCTCAAGGCCTGCCAATTTATTTATTTATTTTTTATTGGTAAAAAAGAGAAAACATATTTAATCTAATTAAAAAATTTCATGTTGCTGATCAAAAAGAGAAAACATATGGTGTCATTGTCATTACAGAAAGGAAAAAATCAAACACAATGTTCACAGTACAATTTCAATGCCATACAAGTCATGATCTTGTTCCACTGTCTTTGGGATGGATCTAATTCATATCCTTGAAATTTCAATAAGAGCAAACCCAGATCCATGATGTAAGAGGCTAAGAGCAAATATCATGGCATTGTATATCATTCTTCAACACAAACATCAATAAAATCTTGGTTATCACAGCTCCTAGGTCTAAGGGCCCATTTGATAACTGCAAAGTGGAAATCAGAATAAATATCAAACTTAAAAAAAAAAACTTAAATCCAGGGGTGTGGTTGGTATATGTAAAGCTTAAAGCTTTTAGCTTTTAGGAGTAAAAGTTCTTGTACTTAATATCACCCAGAAATTAAGTAGGTCTTAGTTGCTGAAATGTTGAATGAGACATTTCTAAATGTGGAATCCTTTCAGCATTTTTGCTTTTAAGATCCTATTATAACTGCAAAGTGGAAATCAGAATAAATATCAAACTTAAAAAAAAAAAACTTAAATCCAGGGGTGTGGTTGGTATATGTAAAGCTTAAAGCTTTTAGCTTTTAGGAGTAAAAGTTCTTGTACTTAATCACCCAGAAATTAAGTAGGTCTTAGTTGCTGAAATGTTGAATGAGACATTTCTAAATGTGGAATCCTTTCAGCATTTTTGCTTTTAAGATCCTATTATAGCAGTTATCAAACATCATCTAAGTTGTACCTCAACGATTGTCCAGCTTCTATATGAGAGAAATACACAATTCAACCTTCCAAGGTGAGGAAATGGTACCAAAGCTTAGTAGCCTCTTAGTTATGTTAATCATACAGGTAATGCTGATATCAAGAAGAATGTTTTAGCACTTTCATTTCCATTTTCTGAGTTGATGCATTCTTTATGGTGATTAATTTATGTTTTATTTACTTGAGGATCTTCCATCTTGTAAACTTTGTACCTTCTCAATACTTGTGACATCATTAACAATGTTCTAATATGCATTGAAAATAGTGAATTTGACCTACTTTTCTCTGTTTTCTTCTATGGAAGACTAACTTCGAATTTTTCTCTCAAAAAGTTAATGCTAAGTTCCTCAACAATTCCACCTTGAACTTGTCATCATCACTATAATCGTCCAAGGCTCGATGGCTTGTTAATAGTGTTTATTAAGAACTGTTTCGGTTTCATTTGATAAAAGTCATTTACTTGTTGGCACAGCCATCTCCAACTACTGGGACTTTTCAATTACCTCCTCTTGGACAAGAAGGTTCCATGGAAGTTGCTGTAACTTCTAATTCAGACAAGGAAAAGAGTGATGATTCTGATGCCTCATTCATGTTTAAGCCTCATGTCAATCCAGATTCTTTGCCAGGACTTTCTGGTGTTGTAAATCATGTGCGTATTGGTAACCTTTAACTGTTCTGATGCTTTAATAACCTTTTAATTGTTCTGATCTTTTTGTATGATTTTTTATTTTTTGTTCTTTTGAATTAAGAAATTGCATTACCAAAATAAATAAATAAATAAGTAGTTGGAATTGCTACTTTTTTTTCAAGCTGAACTAATGCTGTGAAAGCAATCTAGTATTAAAATTGTGATTTATGTTTGTGGATTGTGCCGGTTTTCTAAAGTTGATATTCCCTTTTTGGAAGCTAGTGACACTGTATATTTGATTGCTTGTTGTTATCACTGATGTTTGTTTGTTTTTAGAGAGCACTATATTTGGATCAGTTGATAAAAATGTTATTCAATGTTTTGGAAGGCATATCCTTATCCATCTAGCATCTACTAAAATTCTGTAAATGATTTATTCCCAGCTTTCTTTTAGTAATCCTTGGGTCCTGTTAATCTTCTTAAAAGAAGTGTTCTTCCATTTTATTAAACATCTTCACCAAGATCTCTTTAAAAGTAAAAGTGAAATCTCATCTGCTTGGTAATTTTAATTATCAGGCTTGCTCTCCCAACCAGACTCAGAATCTGGAAAAGAGTGGTTCCAATCATCAAGGTCATGCTCGGGTGCAGCAGCAAGTTGATTTTGAGTGTCAGACAGGGTTTCCAAAACCAGCTATGCTAGCGGACTGCACAACCAATCTTCATTCTGATGCTGAAGTTTCAAACAACATGATTGTGGATAATAAGTTCATTGCTTTGCAAACTTGCCATTCTGGTGTTGCTAGTGATCAGGCACCTCTAATTGAGGAGCCTGTGCATGGAGAGGATAATGGATCACAACAGCAGCTTTTGGAAGGGGATCAGAAAGGGTCATATGCTTCCCTAGGATTGGGAAGGCCATCAGAAGATGGATATAACTGGAGAAAGTACGGACAGAAACAGGTAAAAGGTAGTGAGTTTCCTCGAAGCTACTACAAATGTACTCACCAGAACTGTCAAGTGAAGAAAAAGGTAGAACGATCCCTTGATGGTCAAATTACAGAAATTATATACAAGGGCGCTCATAACCACCCAAAACCCCAGCCTAATCGTCGATCAGCAATTGGATCAGCACTTCCATTCAATGACATGCCAGAGACAGGTAAAGTATCTGAAGCTTATCTTAAAGTATGAGGATCTGCTTGTTAAAGTATTTCACATGGATCTGATGATATTAAAGTTGGTTCAGATTGGCGAGCTGATGGTTTGGAGAGGACATCTTCAACTTCTGTTTTAACTGAACTATCTGATCCACTATCAACTGCGCAAGGAAAGCATGTTAGTATGGTTGATTCAGCAGATACTCCAGAGCTTTCTTCCACACTTGCTAGTCATGAGGATGATGAAGATAGAGCTACTCAGGGTAGCATATCAGTTGGTGATGATGGTGATGATGATGAATCTGAGTCAAAAAGAAGGTAGTTTTCTCTTAATTCTTGTTTTTATTGTGTATAATTGATTGGTAATGTCAATTGTTCTCTCTATATTAGAGGCAAAACTCTGACCATGATATGTGACTATTTTCTTAGGAAAAAAGAGAGCTGTTTGATTGAGACAAGTTTGGCATCCCGGGCCGTCCGTGAACCAAGAGTTGTTGTACAAACAACTAGTGAAGTGGACATACTGGATGATGGATATCGCTGGCGCAAGTATGGGCAAAAAGTAGTTAAAGGCAACCCGAACCCTAGGTAAATTTCTCTCTGGACTACATTTGTTTTCTCTGGGCCTTTCTTAATTATCATGCCATGCTTCTACCAATCATGTGAAGATATGGGGGCAAGATATCTACTTAGTACTTGGTCTTTTTCCATTGAACCACTTTTTTTCTGGTTTTATTTCATTCTATGGATGTTTTGTTTTACTAGAGTTTTCTTGGTTACAGGAGCTACTATAAATGCACAAGTGCTGGGTGTTCTGTGAGGAAGCATGTCGAAAGAGCTTCACATGATTTGAAGTCTGTGATTACAACTTATGAGGGAAAGCACAACCATGAAGTACCTGCAGCCAGAAACAGTAGTCATGTGAACCCGGGTGCTGGAAATATACCACCTGCTGGGCCCAATGTTCAAACAGCTCTGACATTGCCGGGAAGCACCAACTTTCCAAAGCCTGAACCACAAATTCAAGATCTTGCACCTCGTTTTGAGCGGAAACCTGACTTCGGTAACGAGTTCTTGAGGACCGGTTACCTAGGGGGTTTCTCTAGTGACATCAAATTAGGGACTTCTTGTTATGAACTGAAGCTGCCTCCCTTACAAACTGCCATGCCTTTCGGGTCTTTTGGACTGAATCCTAGCCATGGTGATGCTCATCAAATGGCTTCTATTGCTCAGCTTCCAGAATTCCCAATGTCATTACCATTGAGCAGTCTTCCCCGACCTGCAAACTTGGGACTAACGGGATATGATTTCAGTGGGAAGACCATTGGGCCGACTCAGTCTCTCCTCGGGGTACAACCACCCAAGGAAACTGATACAAGGTTCCTCAGGCCTAAACAAGAGCAGAAAGATGATGCTGCTTATGACACCCATGCGCCCATAAACCATCTTGGGAATGCATCGTCATCCATATATCGCCAGATGATGGGAAGCTATCCATTATAAATACTTCCTGCTTGTTGAGTTGAGGGTCTTGATAGGGGTACATTCGGCACACATCTTAAAATTCCAAAGAGATACGATTGCTTTTCCTAGTTTGTTTTTTGGTTGTTGTGATGATTAAAGAAAAGGTTTCAACTTTGATACACACAATAGATAAGGTAATGTAATTATTCCTTGTTTGAGTGGTCTATAAAGGTTTCATTTTTTTTAGATTCATTTCGGATTTTTCCATGTTCTATTAAAGAAAATCATGTTTACATATTTGCTTAGCAATTTCTGCACTGCAGGTATTACTTGTTGTATATACTACAAAGGCCAGTCTCAATTCTCAACATTCGAATAGGGTGGTTTTTACGTTTCTGAACTCGACTTGATCAGGATTGATATTTACAGGTTTTGGACCGGCTATTCTTCAGCATTGGTGAACTCACTTTGGGTAACGGAAAATATTTAGGGCAAATTTATTGAAGTACCCCTATGGTTTAGGAGATTGGCTAACTCTATCCTTACTGTTTTCTGATAATTATCTAAAACCTCTCGCTTGCTGTTTTCTGATAATTATCTAATACCTCTCTTGCTGTCAACTTTTTGTTGTACTCCGTTTCCGTTTCGTAGGTGATATCACGTGATTGATATATTTTTAAAAAATTCCTAACATATCCTTGGTTTAGCAACAAGGATGGATGCTTCCTTCTGCTGCAATCTCTTAACCACCCCATGAAGCTCTTCAAAAACCTCAAGTTTCCTTCTCATCTCAACTTAGGGTTCATCCTCCAATTCAGTCTTCGAGGTTAAGGATAAGTTCAAAATTTTTGACCTTGATCCAACATTCTTCTTTGGTTGCTTTAAGCTCTACATCTGCATCGGTGAACCACCTATTTGGGCCCGAAGCGATTACGATTACTTGATAAAGCTTCTCTTCATCGACGACAAACAATAACTAATGAGTCAGCTTCTCTTGATTGACGATAAACAACCACCTATTAGGGTTCTCTCTCTCTCTCATGCGTCCAACAGAGTACCAGGGTCCTTTGTACTGTTGGCCTTTTAGGCCGATTGATCCTCGGCATTCGTGGGAACCAAGTGATATTCATGCAAGGCATTCAAGAACAAGAGCTTGAAGACCTCGAAATCTTTTAGAAACACATCGTCGATCACTTCCTCGATCTTTCATTCGTTGCGCTAGGAAGGCCTTGAATGCTCTTGTCACATCGATGAAGATTGATGTGGCTTGGCGTAGAGAGGGTTCCTCCCATACCAGGTCGACGGAGTGGGCTTGATCCTTTAAACGGAAAGGCAATGGCTCGGCCTCGATCAAGGACCGGAGTCATGGGATTTTTTATCGTTATCTAGTAGTATATTGAAGACGTGGTTGCTTGTTTTCCTCCCTTCCTCGACTTGAAGCAGGGCAATCTCCTTTCCACCTCCCATTCTCCCATTCTTTTTTCGGTTTCCCTCCACATTTTTTGTCCCTATTGTTCCCCTCTATCATACGTTGAGTCAAAATCGAAGAACGGAGTCAAATAACTAAGCAATGTGGTTTATCGTCTTCCCCAATGAGAACAACGAACCTAGCGACGATGTCACTCAGCTTTTCACCCTCGTTATTTGCTTCTCCACACCGACCGGTGATTCACTCTTGGACCTCAATTATCTCCCTCGGTCGAAGGAAAAACTGCAACATCTAGCATCTTCTCTGTATCGGCATCCGAGTTCTGACCACCAAACATAGTGAAGTTCAGGGAAGCAAATTATGGCAGTGTCTGCCAATCTAATGATTTAATCAAGCATTTTTTATGCTTTGGTTTGCCAATGGTATGAATGATAGGCTTTCAAATAAACCTATTTCCATTTCAGCATTGTTTGTTCGTAAAATCAAGCTAGTTTAGTCTGTTAGATTTTTTTTTTTCTTTTTTCCTCGGCATTTTCTGAATATTTTGGTTGAGGAATCGATGAGATTGCATCTTTTGGAGTCTATTTGCGGTCAGGATCTTGGTTCTAGGCTAGGGCTTTCTATAGGTATTCCTTGAAGAAGATGAACGTCTCCGTTGTAAAAGCAATTAGTGAGCCCAGCCCCCTTGCTTCAGACACCAAGAATGGCGTCGGAGAGGCAAAAAACTCAGACATCCTGGTTTAGTACATAGTTCTTCGAAGAGATTTGATCGATTCCTAGCCTCTGGCCCACTCGGGAGCATTCATCACACAAGGTTGCCACGCTTCTATATCGACGATCTGGACACACAAAGATGATGCTGAGACTCAATTATAGCAGGAACCTGCATTTGGCCTTCAACCATATGAAAGTTGTCTTCCCGTCTGAGTTTCAGGAACTTGCCTATAACCTTCAACCTTTATTCAGTTGGAAGTGGTGTTTTTGTCTACAATGTGGAACATTAAGTTTCATCTTGAAAAAGTGAATAATAATGGAGGAGGATAAATTTGATATTTTGTTTTTTCTATCAATATTTAATGACGATAATAATCGTTAGAAAATGTGCTTTCTGAATTAGTGCTTATAAGAAAGCGTTTGCTAACTTTTGGTGGCAGTCGGCTTTAAGCCATTTATTTTGGCTTTTTTGAACAGGTTTTCCTATTTGGGACCCAGTAGTTGTTTGGGCAAAAGACTTGAACCTCCCAAAATTTCACCAATGTTGGAACATCTCGAGGGTCTGTTTGGCTCACAATCAGAATCCGAATTGAAAGCAAAATAGTCTTAGAAATTTGGAATCAATTGGAATGGGATTTCATTCTCAAGGATGGAATTAGAATCTGCCCTGCCCTACCCCAGTCAGGGCTTTTTTTTTTTTTTTGACTACTGGTCAAGTGGGCTTTAGGGAAGTTCAAAACTCTGGATCAGGGACCAAGCAAGAGTGGTATTTGTCTATCCCACCCCAACTATATTATATTATTATTATATATCATATTATACTACTTTATATTACATAATATAATATAGTTATAGGTGGGTTTAAAATAAATAAGATGGGGTGGGGTAAGTTTCCAATTCCCCATGAGATAGATGGAGCAAAGGATTTGAATTCAAGGTTGGGTTCAGGGCATGCCATCCCACCCCTTTGCCATTCTTAATGACCATATGGCCCATTCTGATTCCAGACTTTATTCCCATGAATCAGGTCCTTAGGGGCATTCTTTTTTTGGATTTTGAGAGGGGGAAAGTTGGTCAATGGGAACAAGAAACCCATATTCTTTTTTCAGATTTATTTGGAGACGAGGAAAATTTTATTTTCCTGGGTATCACTTGTCCTAGGTGGGTAAATAACTTTCCTGCGTGAGGAGAAAGTTGCCAACACTTGAATGGAACAAAAAATACCCTTTTTAATATGGATTTTCATGGCTAAAATAATCATTGCTTTATTTTATATGGGAAATAAAAGAACATGGGTAAATGCAATTACTTGAATAAATCTTTTATGGGAAACACTTACTCGCGTAAGTGCATTTACCTGGGTAAATAACTTACTGAAAAGTGAACGGAGCCTTAATTCAAAATTTTTCGAGTGGGTATCTTCCTTTTAACATTTTACTACTCCCACAATCAGCTTCAGTACTACAGGACATGTTTAGATAATCTTCCCAATGACTTAATAACCTGGCCTGGCCTATTCTCTTCTGATGCCTATACAATTATAGGTTTCCGATTCACTAATCCTAACAAGTAACCACTGGTCTGCAGTTCGTAGACTTGATGTGCTGTTCAGGAATTACAAATGCCTTTTCATGAAGCATGAATTATCTATCTGCATTGTCAAACCCATTTCTGGGGTAAATTTGTCTGTATAGAATAAACAATCCTTCTCAAGAGATTAAAGAATGAAACTGTGAATTAGGTACAATTCTTCATCAAACTGCATGATTTTTCTGTGCAATCTTGATTACGTGCAAAAGCCATGAATGACCAAAACTAACAGAAAGAAAGATAGTTTCCACCAAGATTTACTTACCAAGACTCCAGTGACCTTCCTCCCCATTCATCATTTACAGTAACAGCCAAAAAACCCTCAAACAGTCCAAAACTTTCCCTTCTTCAGAATCCCACAACGCGCTACATTGTCATCATTATCATCATCTTCCCCATTCCCCCTCAAACAGGTTCTCAAACCCATAATTATCATCTTCATCATCAATAACGGTAGCACCATCAAGATTATCATCATCAATAACAGTTGTCAACTCGCTACTGAAGAACCCTCAACAGTCCCAAATTTCCTTTAACATCCCACAATTCACCATTGTTATCATTATCATCTTCTACACCAAAATCTTCCCATTCTTCCTCAAACAAATTGTCAAACCCATCATCAGTGTTCATTATCTTCTCCAGAAACAATAACAGTAACATTACCTTTCCTCCTCTCTCTCCAAATCTTATTGCCTTTCCCTAACCAACTTCATCAACCTCTCCGTATTCAATAATAGCTCATCTTCATCTACTGCATGACTTTTCCGTACAATCTTGATTATGTGCATAAGCCATGAATGACCAAAACTAACAGAACATAATTAGAATTTTCAATGAAGATTAACTTACCAAGACTCCATTGATCTTGCTCCCCCTTGATCATTTACATTAACAGCTGAAGAACCCGCAACCACCCAAAATTTCCCTTCCTCAACATCCCACACCTCACCATTGCTATCATTAACACCATCTTCTATACCAAAATCTTCCCATTCCTCCTCAACCAAATTATCAAATCCATCATCATCACCATCATTATCAGTATACTGTTCATTATCATCTTCATCATCAATAACAGTAACACCACCTTTCCTCCTCTCTCTCCTCATCCTCTTGCCTTCCCTGACCAGCTCCATCAATCTCTCCTTAGTCACTAAAAGCTCATCCTTCTCCAACAACTCTCCCTTCTCATCATACCCTTCCACCAAGAACACAGAGTCTCTCTGACCCTTCAAGCTCACATAAAACAACTCCGGGTGCCTCACCAGCATTGCCCTCAACTTGTTCGGCAGGCCAAATTCCTTGCGAAAATGAGTCAAATGATCAATCAGTGTCCGTTTCTCAACCGTCATTCCTAACACCTCTCTCACCACCGCACAAGCCCTCTTCTCCGCCTCAATCGACTCCGGCATCAACACCCCTACAGGAGTACTATATGGTGAAACTTCCGGTAACTCGCCGAACTTTATCAAAAACTCCCTGTGCCGCTTCTTCAAATTCAGCCCCTTTCTGAGTCTCAATTGCTTGAACTTCAACGGCCTGTCCACAATCAAATCACGCGGCCGGGTGTCTGGGGAGGCGATAGGAACAGCAAGATTCGAGTTCCAGGAGACAAGCTCAAGAGCTCGGCCATAAGAGGTGTCAACAGTCTTGAAACGGTCAGGATGTTCATTACAGAGGCGGGAGCGGAAGTTGGGAGGAAAGCCGAGGTCTGGGCCCAGGTGGGCAAGCTTGTAAAGGAGGAGACGACGGTGAGAAGAGAGCATCAGGAGCTTCTGGAGCTTGTTGGCCAAGGTGGCGGAGATGGAGGACTTGAGGTGGGATTCTTGGGTAGCGAGAGCGGCCGCGGCTGGGGTGAGGCGGACGCAGAGTTGGGAGTCTGAGCGGGAGAGGGAGGTGGGAGGATTTGGGAGGGTGAAGAGCTGAAAAATGGAGGGGTAGCGGTGGATCATGGAGAGGAGGGAGCGAGGGGGTGGGAGAGAGAGGTAGGAGCGACATTTGGTGAGGATGTGGAGAGGGATGTAATGTTTGGGCTTTGAGAGGAGCAGGGTTTTGAGCTTTTGGACGAATCGAAGCTTGTTCGACTTCACTACGTGCTTGTCTAGAGATGGGTTTCGAACGATTTTTATGGATGATGAAGATAATGAGATTGAGGTTGAGAGATTGTTGTTCTTTGTTCTGGTTTTAGGGTTCCGGTGAGGCCTCAGAGATGAGGGTTTGGGAGGGAGGAAGGACGTTGGGAGGGAGGGAATGGTTTTGTGTTTGGGGCTGGAAATGAAATTAGAGAGTGCCATTTTTTGGATGTCTTAGCTCGAATCTGCTATGATATCATAGGAGATTAAGGGTCTGTTGGATCATGGATGGGTGGAAATTAAGCTTGCTTCCACTTCTCACTAGACCTGGTAATTGGGTTGGATGGGTCGGGTTCGGGTTCGGGTTCGGGTTCGGGTTCGGTTAAGACACTTTGGAATGATTTTGGGTCGGATTAAATTTTGGGTTGGGTTATCAAATGTTAGACCCTAATCTTAAGGTTATGTTTGGTTTGAAGGAAAATGTAAGGAAAGAAAGGGAAAGGTAGGGAAAATGTAAGGTTATGTTTGGTTTGTAAAGATTTTCCTACATTTTCTTTCCTTTCCCTACTTTTTCCTTCAAACCAAACACAGCCTAAACATTCAGGTTAGGGTTGACCCATGGATCAATATGGGTCATCCCAAAAAATAACTGAAATTTTAAAAAATAAAGAAAAGCTACATGAAAAATGTCAAAATTAAAGGAATTAACCTTAAAATTCCAAATATAAAATAAAAAAACTTGAATTTTTAAAAATTTAAAGAGTAAATAATAGAGTAAAGACTAAATAGAAAAAATTAAAGAGTGGAAACTTCTAATAATGCATAAATAGTCCCTATTAGACTTGACAATCGGGTCAGCTGGTTGACCCATGACCCAACCCAATTTTTTTTTTGAGTTGGGTTAGGTCAGGTCATTCTCACATTCAGGTAACTAAATATGATACCCTAACCCTGTTTTTTCGAGTTGGGTTGGGTCGGGTTTGCGGGGTGGGTCAATGTTTTGCCAGGTCTACTTCTCAGCTCTCAATCAAGAAAAGATAAACAAAGTATTTGTTAAGGGTCTATTTGATTGTTGGGAAAGGGATGGGAAAAGAAGAATATTCTTAAATGATTCCTCTTTCCTATGTTTGTTTACTGGTATATAGTGTTTTGGGATGAGAAACGAGGAGGACGTGAGATCCCAAAAACAAGTGAGTGGGATTGCACCAAAATAGTGTGACCCCAATGGAAAAAGAAAAGTTTAAGACACATTTGAAAAAATTTATAAGGCTTTGTCAGAATAAGAGCTCGACAGTCTTGTCTCCTTTGCAAGTAGCACCCCAACAATCGTATCTCCAGTGGCTTCTTCGAACATCTCTTTGGAATGTAAGACAAAATCCTTGAACAACTTGATTGGTGATTTTATTTTACCCATTTTCGTTTTTTTTTTTCCAGTCCACTATTGCTTCTTTTCTATCCCCATGTTTTTTCCACTTTGCTTGGAAACTCATTTGGTGTCTTCATTGTCTCTGAAACCGCATCCTTCATGAGCATGCATCTATTCCCTTTTTTTTCAAATTTTCTTCTCATTTTAACCCAACGGTGAGATCTTGTCACACTGGGGTTTTTATCGTTCTTTGTCAATGCCCTATATGTGATTTCCCTTTGTAAAATGACCAAATACACATTGGTTTTCCATATTTGATATTTTCACCTCATTTGTGCATATCTGTCCCAAATCCAAGAACGTATTCGTTCCCAAGCTTGAGGTAACGCCCCTACTCACTCTCCCATTGTTTCCCATGTATCTTCATTCTATTTTGGTTGTTCTTTTCTCTATTTTTTGTTCCCTCCAATCTCTGCAAAATCAATAATAATGTTTGCAAGGTTAAATATAATCTATGTTTTTTGCTTTTATTCCCTCTAATCTCTGCAAAATCAGCAATAATGCTTGCAAAGGTTAAATATAACCTTTGTTTTTTGTTTTTATTCCCTCTAATCTCTATAAAATTAGTAATAATGTTTGCAAGGTTAAATATAATCCCTATTTTTTGTTTATATTCCCTCTAATCTCTGCAAAATCAGTAATAATGCATGCACAAGTTAAACATAACCTTTGTTTTTGTTTTTATTCCTTCCAATCATTGCAAAATCAATAATAATGTTTGCATGGGTTAAATAGAATCTCTATATTTTTATTTCCTCCAGTAATAATGCTTGCACATGTTAAATATAATCTTTGTTTTTGTTTGTATTTCCTCCGATCTTTGCAAAATCTGTAACTTTTTTTTTTTTTGTGCTACCACATAGTGGTCACCTACATTCATTTTCTTAACCTTAGGAAATTCATTTGATACCCTTCAAACAGCCTAGATCATGAGACTTGAACTGATAAATTGATTAGTTATCAGTTCTATAGAAAACTGTATAAGAATCTCTATGTAGCTTTTACAGAATCAATTGATTAGTTATTAGTTTTTATAGTATCAAACCTTTTTGGTATCATTTCACACTCTTTGGTTTGTTGAGCCTACATAGAAGTAGGTAAATTGTGTAAGAATTTCTGTGCAACTTACCTCAAAGCCAACTAAAATTTAGTTATTTTCCTACTTTGATGTTTATGCTTATTAAAGTATAGGTTAAATTCCTGATTTATTAATGAAAGACCAACATGAGGAAAAATAAGATATATGAAAATGCTTTTGAAACTTGATGACATCTTCTATGCTTGATTCTTGAATTTTATTACTAACTCTTTGTTATTATTCATATAAAAGTTTCCATGCCTAAGTTAACCAATATAATTTCATATGATAGAATCCCTTTGATCCCACTCTATTCCACTCCTATGTTCTACTACATCATATCCTTTATGTTGCAAAAGGGATGTATATGAACATGTGGAAGAGGTTTTGTCACTTAAAACATGACAAATGACATTCAATCAAAAAATGACAATATGTTAGCCACAAATCCTCTTTAACTTTTCTAGATTAGGCCTTCTACACACCATCATGGATAAGTAAAGCCAAAGTATCCTCAAACCTTCCCATGTAGCCTATTACTTCAAGAGCACCTTCATTTTTAGATAATTCAGAAAAAAAAAAGTTAACAATGTTGTATGATAAGCCATAGAATAGCATGCCAATAAGTTCAAAATGATTATTTATGGAACATTCCCCCTATAGAGGCTCTATCACATGAATTAGCCACCAAAAAAGACAAAAACAAAATGATCAAGAAAACTAGATTTTATAGTTTATGTTGATCAACACAAGAAAACTTGGTGCCAAAGGCACAAGATGCAAGTACTTCTCACCATTCAAACCATGCCAAAGGAAGTCTCTTTGGATTTTTTTTTCTAGAGATTTTAGAATTAAAATAGGGGCTATGTAAAGTGAATGCGGAATAGATTTCAGAACACATACAGAAATAGGCTAGAAACAATCAAGTGGAAATTTGTCATATTAAAAAACCTTTTGAATCAAAGTGGCTTTGCATGGAATGATTCAACCAAGACAATAAATGCAACACCTGATGTTTGGGCTATATATATTAAGGTAAGATAGATTAATAACACTCACTTTAAGCACTTAATTTTTGAATTAGTATGAAAAATGATTTATTTTGAAACTTCCATGGTAAATGAGAAGACGCATCCAGAGGCAAAACAATTCAGACGAAAAAGCATTCCCAACTATGACAAATTGGCATTGGTTTGTGGAAATGATCAAGTGACTAGAAATGGTGCCTTCATAGACAAGGAGCTAAACAAGCAAGATGCAATTTCTGCAACTACCACTAGTGCACCACCGAATGTTGAGCATGTGTTTGATGACATTAATGAGGCTGAGAATTTTGGAGATCCTTACCTTCAGACAAGGTCAGCGAAAGGAAGTAGCTTTGTAGAAGAAAGAGTTTTAGGAAAACAAGTCATATGCTTCAATTGTTGCTGAACAAGTTCAAGATATTGCTACACATCTTGGGAAACTTGTTGATGCTATCCGATCCGAGATGTTCTAAACCAAGGACACGATCAGATAGTCCTGCCAATTGGACAAGGGCGAGGTGGAAGGACGAAACTGCACACCGAGATTTGCAACCAAGAGAAAGGTTAGAGGCCCGAAGAGTTGTTCCTTGGGTAGGTACTCCAATGTTCAAGTCAATAGGGTAGAGAAGGATATGGCCGGGATTAGCAAGTTGAGATAGTGTTAGTCTGAGCCAAAGAGATAGTGCAAGGAGGTATTCAAAGAGTGTAATTCCAAAGAGTCCCTTACCTCGAGCGGGGAATACCTACTTATAGTTGGGTGTCTGTGTCCTAGATGGATAGGGCATTTGGTGTTGTCGAGATGAAGACGTCCGCTAAGTAGGGGTGCTCACGGTTAGGTTAACCAAACCATGGAGCTTTTTCTTGGACCGAATCGATACTACCAGTTTTTGGAAAACCGGTAACCGAAATAGAACTGAAACCAGTCGGTCAACCGTTAGTTTGATTCGTTGGTTTTTTAATTTTTATAATATATATTATAAAAAGATATATATAAATATATAATAAAAAATTATAAATATATATAATATTATATTTTAATTAATAAATAATATATCATGTATTTATTAATTTATAATATATACAAAATATATAAAATATATATAATATAAACAAATATATAGAAATATATGTACATCGGTCGGTTCGGTTAATCGCCAGTTTTCTATATTGGTTAACTAAAACCAAACCGGTACCTTCAGTTTTTTAAAAACACCGAACCGATCGATTCAGTTCGGTTTTTCGATTTTTTGCTCACCATACTACTAAGTAGGGGTGTCCACGGTTTGGTTAACTGAACCGTGGCCCCTTTTTGTAAATCGAACTTGTGGTACCGGTTTTTTCATTTTGCCAAACCAAAACCGAACCGAAACCACCAGTTAACCGGTCTGCCGGTTTTAGTTTTTGAAGGGTTCGATTTTTTAGTTTTTTGGTTTTTTATATTTATAATATATATTATATAAATATATGTATAATATTATATTATAAATAATAAATGATATATAATATTTTATAAATATTTTATAAATATATAATATATTTGTAAATAGATCATTATAAATATAATATAAGTATATATTTATATATAATGAATATATATTTATATAAAATACATAGAAAATATGTGACATATATTAAAAATATATATATAATATACATATATATATATATATATCGGTCGGTTCGGTTAACCATCGGTTTTTTTATAAGTTAACCGAAAACCGAACCAGTCCTTCGATTTTTC